AGCCTTTTGTTACTGGAAATTCTTCTGATAAGTTGTTGTTTAGTTTGATTTTTGATGATGCTTTATTGTATAATTGTTTGGCTGCGGCGATGATCGTGCTATTTAATGAAGATCGTTCAAGAGACTGCCACAGCTTTCTCACAGGAATCGTGTCATATGCTTTTGTGAGATCTACAAATAAAAGATGTATTTCCTGGTTTCTTGCAACTTTATTTTCATTCAGTTGTGTTAGGGTAAATATGTAGTCTACGCAATATCTTCCAGCTCTAAATCCTGCTTGCTGTTCAATTTCATGAGGTTCGTATTCTTTCTCAATCATGTTTTTTAACATTTTACCAAACAGCCTGCTAAAGGTACTGGTGACAGAGATACATCTGTAGTTTCCGCAAATATTTTTTGGACCTTTTTTGTAAATTGGAGTAATCCATGCTTCTTTCCAACTATTCGGGATTTTTTCCCCATTTAAGTAGCTTATGAATAGCACTTTAAGATGGGTTATTAGTTTTGGTGTTCCGTTTTTTAGAAGTTCTGCTGGTATATTCTCCGGCCCGGATGCTTTGTTATTCTTCATCGATTTAAGCGCTTGTTGTATTTGTTTTTCTTCCACGTTTACATATTCACCTTGTACTCGTATTCGTTGAGGTGAGTCAGTATTATAAATATTTCTGTCTTCATTCAGTTTCCTTGCGTAATGATCTTTTCATGTATGTATCTGGATAGGCTGTATTCGACTTTTATTTGATGTGTCGGTTTTCAGGGATTTTATTAATTTCCATGCCGGCTAAGACTCTAATTCCATTTAACCGACACGTTGAAAGCATCAACACTCCAAAAGGAATTGATATAAATCTGAAGAGATATAATGTCAGAAGCCTACAAGAATATGGCACTAAAATCTTATACCAAAATAGATTAAATAAAAAACTACTCGAGGAATACCTAACTACTAAAACCAATTAATTATACGAACATATAACTGACTGTATTCACCACGCAGCCCAAGAAGCTCTAGGCGAAGAAACCAGAACAGTCCACAGATCAGCGGGAAAAACCACTTGGAACACACAGCTTGAAGAGCAAAGAAATAAGAAACAGGAAGCATACAAAAGATGGCTGCACACTAAGAATCTTGAAGATAAAGAAATGACACTTCTTCATGTTAAAATTTATATTATCGCAATTGGTTATACACATGTGAAATATAAATGACATAAAAATTGAAATGTGTTTCTCGAATATGTTTATTGATATGCTGGACACTTTGATTATACATTTGAATACATTGCATTTTTCATAAATAGGAAACGAAATATGATATTGCAAGCAATAACATCACAAGATAAAGGCCTATAATGCTTGAGTTTACCGTCTGGCTTAAAAAAATAAACAAAGAACGTGTGTTCTGTGTTGTGTTGTGTTTAGTTTAGTAATCATTAAGACACACGAGTTGTATCAGTCCACGATACATACAAAAATACCTTCCTTTCGAGAAATAATTACGTTTTATGAAAATAAATATTATTAACAAATTTTTTCGACGTTTTATTCAATATTATTATTATTTTTATTTTGTTTTCGAGGTAAATAAGTTAAATAACACACGCAATGACACAACAACTAAACATATCTATTAACGTAATTTTCAGATCTCAACTAACAACGCAACTACGCGTTTGTGACACCAGCGATTAAGTACCTCTCCTATCTCTCTTAGAATAATTCCTTTTCGATTTTCGCACAGCTCACCCGCCAGCTCTCGGTTGTCGGATAATAAAGTACTATTTGAAGTAGAGGACGGAAAATTACGTCACGAACCTATTCGAAGACGATAGGAGTAGTTCACGTCCCGATATTACTAACTGCGACGGACCCCTAATAACACGCTCTGAGGTTATAAAAGCCATACAATCATCAAAAGATGGCAGAGCGACTGGTCCGGATGAAATTCCAACTGAAATATATAAGCTTATAAATTATAGCAATGTTTTAGAGGCTATAACTTCGTTTTTCAATAACATTTATACCAGCGGACAACTACCTAATGGTTGGTCTAATTCACAGTTTATAGCTCTACCTAAGAAGAAACCAGCAAAAACCTGTGCTTATTATAAAACAATCAGTTTGTTAAATCACTTATTGAAATTCTTTCTGAAGGTAATACATGGTCATATCTACAATAAATGCGAGGAATACCTGGATGACACTCAGTTTGGTGTCCGTAATGGGTTTGGAACGAGAGAGGCACTGTTTGGAATGAACGTACTTCCTCAAAGATGTCGTCATATATCTGTAGACATATACTGTTGTTTTATTGACTTCCAAACGGCATTTGATCGTGTTAAGCACTCTATATTGATCGAAGCTCTAAAAGACATTGGCTTGGACGGCAAAGATGTTCGAATAATTGCAAATTTATATTGGAATCAAACAACATCAGTTTTAGTAGATAGTGTGGGATCACAGGCTCTCAATATTAAAAGAAGAGTACGGCAGGAATGCCTCTGTCACCCCTGCTTTTTAACGTTTACTCCGAAAGAATTTTCAGAAATGCACTTTCTGAAAAACAAAAAGGAATACTTGTGAACGGCGAAGTCATCAATAATTTGCGATATGTGGACGATACAGTACTCTTAGCTTTTAGTCAAGAAGATCTGCAAACACTACTTGATAGTGTCGTTGAGAGTTGTAGGGAGGCAGGTCTGGATCTTAACATATGGAAAACCAAAATACTCGTAATAAGTAAACAGCAGCATATAAAACCGTCTATATATGCAAATAATACCAAACTTTAGCAAGTTGATAAAATCTTTTACCTTGAACAGCAATTAAATTGTAACGCAGAAAGTCGGGGTAAAATTAGATCTAGGATAGAGCAGGCTAGAGCTGCTTTTAGAAGGATGTCCAAGGTGTTATGTAACAGAGACCTAAAATTGGCACTGAGGATCCGCCTACTTCGCTGCTACGTATTCTCGGTCTTACTTTATGGTGTCGAGTCCTGGACTGTGATTAAAATCGATCTAAATCGCCTTGAGGCTTTCGAAATGTGTTGCTATAGAAGAATTTTAAAAGTTTCCTGGGTGGAGAAGATCCGAAACTCCATAATACTAGAACGTCTCAGCAAGACGTTCTACTGAGATCATAAAAATATCAAGCAGAGAAAGCTGGAATATTTCGGACATGTAATGAGGGGTCCCAAATATAGGTTGCTACAAAATATCATGCAAGGAAAAATAGCAGGCAAACGCAGTCCAGGACGAAGAAGAACCTCATGGTTGAATAACTTGCGAGATTGGTATGGTGTTGATACAAGCATGCTATTTAGGGTGGCAGTGAATAAAATTAAGATAGCTTTGATGGTAACCAACGTTCTGAAAGGACATGGTACATGAAGAAGAAGAAGAGATCTTCACAGTCAAAAAAGGTGTTAGACAGGGTTGCATATTGTTACCGGCAATATTTAACATTGGACGAATCAGAAGATGAGTTTGCTGTAAATAGCTAACTTATAAACAATATTAGAATATTGGATATGCAGATGATACAGTGTTGCTGGCAAATAGTGCGCAGGGGCTTTAAAGGATGATTGACAGCATTGATAGATAGTAGAAGCGTGTAACAAATACGTTTTAAAACTAAATTGCAAGAAGACAAAAATAATGATCATTAATAAGAACACCAACTTAAGTGTCCAAATTACAATAGGCGATACACCGTTAGAAAGAGTGGAAAAAGTATGGTATTTGGGCTGCAATATTAAGGATACTTGGGATCACAGCTACGAAATAAAAACTCGTATTGAAAAAGCCAAAAGCTCTTTCAACAGCCTTAAAAAGATTCACTGTAACTTATTTTTAAGTATCAACATACGCATAAGAATTCTTAGATGTTACGTCTTTAGTGTCCTCCTCTATAGAGTAGAAAGCTGAAGCTTTACAGAAGATGCAATAAAACGATTAGAGGCATTTGAAATGTGTCGCTGCCGACGTATGTTGAGGGTCTCATATATACACCGCACAAGTAGCATAACTATTCTCCAGAGGCTGGAAGAAGAAAATACAAAGAAATTATTAACCCATAAAAACAGAAAATTGATTTACTTCGGCAACGTCATGCGTAATGATAAATACCGACTTCTACAGTTAATTCTACAAGGCAAAATTGAGGGTAAGAGAGACCTTGGATGTAGACGTATATCCTGGCTGGCCAATCTTAGGAAGTGGACTGGTCTAACGTCAACTGATCTATTTCGAGCTGCTGTGAATAAAATAAGATGGGTCAATGTGGTCGCCAACATCTCTAGAAAATTGTAACATTTAGATGAAAAAAAAATACTCAGCCATACCGTAAAAAGCATAGGGTGAAATATTAAATATATAATGGAATGCAATTTAATTAAAATAAAAGTAATAATTTTTTTATATTTTTAAAAGACTTATTTTTTAATTAACTTAAAAATCGATATTATTGTTTTTTATTATTTTATAGCTATCAGTGAAATAAATTTTATAGTTTGAAATCACATTTTTAAATGAATTTCATTGATTGTTTTCCGTAATTTTTCATAATTTATACATACATACATACCTATATAATATATAAGTAGGTTCTATATATTAATTGTTTTTAACACCTTAAGCGCCACCATACAATGAAAATTGTTGGTTCCTGGGACCAATTTTTGTTGGTTATAGTCTCTGTTTGCTAAGGTATTTTATAATCTATTTAAATAATATTTTTGGGTATCTGTCTTTTTTTGTGAATTTTGAAAGATGTTTTTGTGCCCTAAGGTTTATGCCACGCAGCCCAAAAAATGTATGTTGCTTCTACGGAGCCATGTGCTAGATACGTTGTGCCATGGTACTACCTGGTATGCAAGGACAAAGTAACTGTCTTGAGAATCAAGCGACTCGTGCAAGCCAGTCTGTTGTTAGCTCCTTAGATGAACAGAGTTTTTGAGAATAGCAGTGTAGTAAAGTGAATGTAAACAAGATGTACGCACAATGGCAGATTACGAAAAAGGTTTGAAATGCATTTTGCAGTTGTGGGATGAACTAATGTCGGATGAGGAGAGTGATTCTGTTATAATAGGTGATGTTTATTCGTCTGATACTTACTTTCCTATTTTGCAAGCTTCGAGTGACTCGGAAGATGAAAATAGCGATGTTAGTGCAGTTTTTGTCCCAAAAAACGTAAATTAGGTCAAAAAGTATATGTTATAATGGATTTCGGAGCATCTTCAAGCAAGTTTATCTGCCACTAATAATGTTGGAGATTTGCCGATTAGCTCACAAACAGGGTCAAATAATATCCATTCAAATTTACAAAATGCAGACAATGTTATTGAATACGTAATCTCCGAGTACAGAGTTAAAACGAGACGACTGCTAGAAACAACAGAGATGAAAATACTCCGACAAATATCAGGGAAAAGTCTATTGAATAGGGAGAGAAGCGAAAACATAATAAGAGCATGCAATACAGATGACATAAATGGATGGGTGACAAAACGAAAACAGAAGTGGAACGAACATATCAGTAGAATGGCAGAGGATAGAATAGTACGAATAACACGAGATAAAACACCAAATGGACGAAGAAGTATTGGCAGACCAAGAAAAAATTGGTGCGACAATGTATGAGGCTAATATCGAAGAAGAAACAGGCTTTAAAGCCTATATACTAGAAGGAAGAAGAAGAAGAAGAGCTGAAAGTGACCTAGAAAATAGAAGTAATCATCAAAATGACCTAATTGACTTGAATAACTTACAGTGGAACCCTGTTGATGGATCATCTTGTAAGAATTTTGACTTTGATGGAAAAGATACAGTAGTTAGAGCTTAAATCTATGCAGATTATATTATTATGGATCCCTGTAGTTTTTTCAAGTTATTTGTTTGTGACAAACACAAACACTTTTATGGTTTTTCTTCAAGTGCCATCTCCGCGGCGGAAGTCGGCAATCATCATAGCTATTCGGACTTCTTAGACGGCTGCTCTGAAAAGTTGATTTGATGTACATCCGTACCACTCTCTTAGGTTGCTGAAGCTAACTTTTATGGTTAACGAAACCAATTTCTATGGCGAGCAGTGTTTGGCGAAAGAAGGACTGACATAAAAATCATCCTCTTATGAATGGGAAGTGGCATTTTAGCGATAATAATAATAATGCTTTTGCAGACGACATACTTCGCAAAATTACTCCCCTCCTTACAGTTCTTTTAAAAAACTTTAAAAAAGCGTTAACGCCTGGTAAAAAAGTGTACATTGACGAGACCATGGTACCATTTCGTGGTCGACTACGATTTAGACAATAAATAGAAAATGAAAGGCACAAGTTCGGTATAGAACTATGTAAGGAAGGAGGATACACTTACAATCTTCGGGGTTATTGTGGAGCGGATACCGAAAATGGTGGTCAAGCATCTTTGAATGTAGTATCTATTCTAATTGACGATCTTCTGGATTCTGGTAGAGAACTGTATACGGATAATTATTATACAAGTGTCTCCTTAGCAACCAAATTATTAGAACGAAAGACGCATCTGGTGGGCACTCTCCGTAGCAACCGAAAGTTGCTTTATAGAGATAATACAAAAGTAGTATTGCAAAGAGGAACAACACCATCACAATGGCAAAATGCAGTGATCATTCTAATGTTTAAGAAAGGAAATTTAACAAATCTCGTAAACTATAGACCAATCAGCCTCATCTCACACATATACAAGCTTTTTACAAAAGTCATAACAAACAGACTTTCGAACAAAATGGATTTTTACCAATCATGCGAGCAGGCAGGATTCAGGTCAGGCTTCAGCACAAACGACCATCTACAAGTTATTAAAAGCCTCATCGAAAAATGTATAGAGTACAATAAACCCCTCGTCCTAATATTTGTGGATTATGAGAAAGCATTCGACACAGTAAACCACCAGAAAATGCTAGAAGCTTTAAAAGAGTGCCGAATAGATCACCGCTACACCACTGTCATCAAAAATATCTATGATAATGCCACGGCATGCGTCAGATTCCATGAAGATACACACAAGTTCAACATTCATCGTGGAGTTCGCCAGGGCGACACCATTTCATCAAAACTGTTTACAACATTATTAGAATACATGTGTAAGCGTGCAAACCTAGACGAAAAGGGCATAAACATAAATGGAGAGCAGCTTAGTCACCTCAGGTTCGCAGTCGATATAGTCCTGATAACAGACCGCATAGATCATGCCATCGAAATGTGCGAAAGACTCTACCATGCCTCTACACAAGTGGGTTTTAAAGATCAATAACTCAAAAACACAAGTGATGACAAACCTTGTTCTGAGTGAGAACATCAACATAGCTGGAACAAGTATAGAACAAACATCAGCATACAAATATCTGGGACACGAAATTCGCTTAAGTAGAGATAAGCAGACCAATGAACTAATACGTAGAATAGGGTTGACATGGGCAGCTTATGGAAAGCTAAGAGATGTTTTCCAATCAGCTCTTCCCATCTGCTTGAAGAGAAAAGTCTTCGATCAATGTGTGCTGCCGATTCTAACCTATGGTGCGAAGACGCTAACACTTACTAAGACGTCCGCAAACAAAATTCGAACAACACAGAGGGCAATGGAACGGTCCATGTTGGGATTAACCCTGAGAGACCGAATACCCAACACAGAATTGCGCCGTAGATCGGGAGTAACCGACGCAATCAAAAGAATATCAACCTTAAAATGGAACTGGGCAGGGCACGTCGCGAGAACGAAGGACGGCAGATGGACAAAACGCATTCTTGAGTGGAGACCCAGACAAGATGCCTTTAGGAATAGAGGACGACCACCAACAAGATGGACGGATGACCTGAAACGGACACATCAAAATTGGATGCAGGCGGCTCAGGACCGAAATTTGTGGGGTGAACTACGGGAGGCCTATGTTCAGCAGTGGACGAGTATGGGCTGAATGATGATGAGTATTGCAAAGAGTTGGTGCGGTAGAAAAACCCGAAGAAGTAATTAATTATAACGTCTTGCCAAATAAAAGCATATTCTCACACATGGACATTGAATACGAAGGAAGAGGATACTCTAGAAAGGTGGAAAAGGAAAATATTGAGACGCATATTCAGAGAACGGAAGACAAAAGATGGTTGGGAGAGAAGAATCAGATGATTGGGTCATGTGGAAAGAATGGCAGCAAACAGAATGCCTAAACTAAAAATAACCAGAAAACTAATCGGCCCCAAAATGGAGGTAAACCCAGAACGAGGTGGATTAGTAAAGTGGAGGAAGACCTTAGACACGTGAAGGTGGGGAACTGGAAAAGAAATGCACAAAATAGAAGCGAATAGAGAAATATGATCCACCAGGTGCTTCAGAGTAGTTAAGAGTGTTGTATATACATATTTAAGTTAAATTTTTGTTTAAAATAATTGAAATTAATTAATATTGGGATTATGTTTTAAAAAAATGCCCTAGGCCTTAACGGCCTGTTGTGCGTAAAAATAAATAAATAAATCGATTTAAAGAAAAAATCTTGCTGCCACGTATTGCAAGGATCACCTCATATACAAACTATTCTAAACAAATTAGTCTGTATAAAATTATTCTAAAACTAATAATTCTTGAGAGATAGGCGAAAAAAGGATGAAAAATATCGATTTTTTTTATTTTTTTTTTTTTCATATTTTGTTTAACAAAAACTTAAACCCACATTTTACAACTCACGCGTGGTGAAATTATGACTTGTAGTGATATTTTGGAGCGTTTTATGCTAAAAATGCAATTATATACTTCACACCCAACTCAAAACACATACCGCCGCTAGACTAAATGTAGGTACAAATCTACTTATAATTAGTTGCATTGAATTTATTTTTTAATATTTAGATTTTTGTAATTTATAACATCACTCACCATGCGGATCCAATGGAGACATTAGGTAGAGTATGTGGAATTAAGCGGTTATAAACATATGAGTAGGATACTTATAAATATGTTTATTTATCTATAAAAACATTTATTATAATTGAGGCAAATACGGAAGTGAAAATGAGTAGAAATAAAATACTTACTCGGAAGGAATTGGACAATTGAAGAAATGAGTGACATAAAATGTGACTACACTGAGGATAAAGATGGGGACACTGGGAACTGGGATGTGAACTGAAAAAGGGACAGAGATTTTGATACTGCTAATGATCTTATTGAAGCAGACCAAGCAAGTACAAGTTCAACGACTTTTATATCTTCTTAGGGTACCTTTCCGTCCCGAACGTTGGCGATCATTCTAGCAATGATGATTTTGTTGGTTGCTATACGAAACAGCTGTGTTCAGGTTAGCAAGACAGGTTATTCTTCTTCATCCTGGGGACCTTTATGCTTCAAGTTTACCTGGCAAAATGCATTGAAGTAGCTCGTATCTGTCTTGATTTCTCATTATACGTCCGAAAGCTTACGGTCCTTCACAATGTTCAAATGTTCACAATGTTCACAAAGTTCACAACCAAATCCGCAGTTGTGTTCATCCTCCGCAGTACTTCTTCATTGGTGACTTTGTTTGTGCATGGTATTATCAGGATCCTTCTGTATAGCCACAGCTCAAAAGCCTAAAGTGTTAATAGAGTTTCCGCCTTCAATGTCCACGTTTCTACTCCGTACAGAAGCACTGACTACGCATAACATTTAAGGAGCCTTATTTTTGTTTCTAGGGTGAGATCATGGCTCTTGAACACAGAGCTCATAGTCAAGAATGCACTTTTGCCTTTCCGATGCGACACTTAATCTCTTGGGTATTTTTCCACGACTCATTGATTATAGTTCCCAAGGAGTTGTATTGTGAGACACGTTCAATTCTCATGTGGTTCACATGCAGATTTACTCCAGTTATGTTTTCCTTGCTGATGATCATTAGCTTGGTTTTGCTGGTGGATTATATCCAGTCCATATTTTCTACTTGTTTTCGTTATTTTAGCTCTGCATACCGCAGGTTATTGAGCTTGACTCCATTTATTGAGATACCTTCATCAATATCTTTGAGAGTCTCTTCAAAAATGTGCTCCGAGTACAGATTGAATATCAGTGGTGAAATTATGCACTCATGTCTCATTTCTCTAGATTTTGACCTGATCTCTATATTCTCCATCTATTCGGAGATTGAGTCCAATACAGGTTAGCAATTTTATCAAGTCGCCGTGCCTTTCCATCCTTCATTTGTCTGACAGCTGCCGTTATTTTTTCTGGTAGGATTTCGGGACCTGAATTTTCTTTAATGGTGGGCTCTTGTATTGTTCTAAGGTCATCGAAAAGTGTCTCCAAGTATTCTTCTCATACTTTCTTTTTACCTTATTTGGTTATGGCAAGATTGCCTTTATTATCTGTTATTTTTCCGCTGTTGCGTTTTCGGAACTTTCCAGCTATTTGCTTCACATTTCGATGAACATTGAAGTTATCATATTGACTATGATACTCTATTTTTTGACACTGCCCTGTTTTTTGTATCTCTTTAACTTTTTTTATTTTCTTTGGTGTTTTTCTCTGATCCATAAGTTCAAGTATTTCATCGGTCATCCACGATTTCCGTTTCTCTGCATTTTTGCATTTTAGCACCTTTGTATTGAGGTTTTCACTCAACTTCAGTCGAATATTGGGATCTTTTAGTTTTCTACTTCATACTTTATACTTTTTCATCGACTTACTTGTAACCTTCTTCATTTTGACTTTGAAATTACCTACAACTGGTACATGATCAGAATTTATGTCTGCCTTGGATATGTTCAGATGTACAGCTGTTCCTATACCTCTTATTTACTAGCATGTAATCAATCTTACAATCCTTCCCACAGAATCCTGAGGAGATTTCCAGACTTTTATATCGCAAAACAATAAATAAATATGGAATGCTAATGAAGTTGTTAGAATACAAGGAAGACATGCTCAACAAGATATTTTGGGAGCAAAGGTAGGACCTACAAGATTTGATAAGTAGTGCAAGTATTTTTTATGGTAGACGAAAGGTTAAAAATAGACATCATAATTAGTTATGATTATGTAACCGGCTTGTACTTATAAAGAAAAAACTTTAAAAGAAAAGAAAAAGAGAAAAAAGTGGAAACTAAATTCTTAATCGTAACACCGTGTTCAATTCTAATATAATTACAGTGCATGCGGTTTTAATTTTGCAAATGATATTGCTCTTGGGCTGCAGTTTTGCCGTTCTATTTATTTTAGAATAATCCTGTATAATATTTGCAATTTTACTTTAATTTTTAATGTATTTTAGTTAGAAGAGGAAGTGAAGTTTTCCAAAAAAATTAGGCCCATAAAACTACCTGAACAAGATGCTAAAGTACCAAAAGGAACATCACTTATAGCTGTAGGCTGGGCAAAAACGACGGTAAATTTAATATTGTTTAAATTATTTAATATATTAAAAAACAGAGTATTAACATAAATTTAACAATAATCTTTTAGCATTAACTATGTTACGGTAAGAGTAGAGAATTGATAATTATATAAAAATACCAGAATCGACTGTAAATTTGTACAAGCTCGTTTGTAATTTATATATGTAAATATGTATTTATATTTATATATAATACCAATCTAAGAATGGGATCCACATGTCCGAAGATCAAAACCGGTCACTCTTCACTAGTTGAAGTGGCACCTATCTGACCCCCAGGATTTTCCTCCACCCCTCCTCATCTTGTGACTTACGTGAAGAGGCTTATGATCTGAAAGTTACTTAAGGTGCCCTGGGTAATGAGACACCTTCTGTTTTTATTGACAGTGGTTATGCCACCTAACTGTAGGGGTAGCCACATCTAGGCTTTTCCCCTATGTACTTTAATGACTCTATTAAAGTTACTCTAACATCACTTCGGGACTTGAGTCCCTAACAAAAAAAAAGAAAAAGAGCGTGTGTTCCGACCATGGAGCCGCCAGCCTAAGCTGACGACTTCGTGTCCAGAAAAGAGTGTGTGCTCGGTCACTCAGCCGCCGATTTGGCAAAATAAATTTTGTTCTCGCCGGCTGGGTGCCCGAGAAGAGTCCGGCCACCAAGCCCATGTCTGCCGCACATGACCTCAGTGCTCGGGTGTCGCGAGTAGATCAGTATTCATTTGATCTGCCTTAAGGGCCTAGTCTGCAGTTGCGGTATATAGAAGGCCTGATGGACCTGCTATATTTAAAAGAGTAAATTTCTTCATGATTTTAGCTTTCTCACAAATCCCGTTTTCTCCGTGTAGAGGAGGTATGGGTTTCTTGTCCTTTCGGAGGATTTTTGATAATTTCCAGAAAGCGGATTTGTCAGGATTTAGCTCTTGGATATAGGTGTCCCAGCTTTCATTTCTGTGATCTTGGAGTTTTCTTTTTACTTCCCTGTCTAGCTCGTTTGCAATCCTTTTGTCTTCTCTTGTTCTTGTGCGGTATGCTCTTCTTCTTCTGCTATTTTTTTCTTTGATTAGGTTTTGGAGTTCTATGCTTAAGTCCCTAAAATCTTCCTTTTTGTCTGGTGACTGTTTCAGTTTTGGAGCTACTATCAATAGCGTTAGTTATTGTTTGTTCTAATTTTGTTACGCTGTCTTCTAGTTCTGTAATGTTGTTGATTGTTGGGATATTACTGATGTTTTCGCTTACAATTCTTCTGAAGTTCGGCCAACTTATCTTCTTTCTGTAGTGGGGCTGCAAATAGTTCATTTCTACTGCGCCCAGGCTCAGGATGATTAGATTGTATGTCGAATCGCTTTCATTTAGAGATTGTATCTCGTGTTGTTGACCCACGTTGTGTAGGATTGCAATATCAAGGTGCATAGGGATTAGTCCATGAAAACATGTTGGATCTGTAGGTCCGATGACATAGGTGTTTGGTCTGTTTTCGAGATGGTTGCAGAGTAGTCTTCCATTTCTGTTGGTTGCCCTGTCAAACCAATTCGGAGATCTAGCATTCAGGTCGCCTATAATTATGGTTGGCTCTTCTGAGTTCAGGATTAGGCTCAAGTCTTCATTGAATATCGGATCATTGGGTCTAACATATGCTGACACTATTTTTAGTGAGTCGTTGTTGGCCTTTAGGCGTATGATCGTGGCTTCCATGGTGACTAGTCCGAGTGGTGTAGGGATGTGCTTGTGTTCGAGTCCCTTTTTTACTAGTATTGCTGTTCCTTCTGATACTGCTCTATGATCCGTTCTATAGATATCGTAGCCTGGAAATTTTGTTTGCTTCCTTTCCACTAGTTTGGTTTCTTGAAGGGCTACGATATCGAGCTCTAATCTGTTGGTTATTTCATCCAGAAGGTTGATCTTTTTGAATATTCCGCCGGAATTCCATGACCCTATGCGTAGATCTTCCGTTTGGTTTGCTACTATTTTCGAACGGCCTCTCCGAATGCAGTCATTATTTTTGTTGCTTTGTCCATCATGGACATCTTTGGAATTATCCATCACATCATGTGGAAGTTTGCTATCAGTGTGGCCGCGTCTTGCACTGTTTGTGTGAGGATCGGGGCCTCTTGGATGGTTTCTGGGGCTTTCTTCGCTGCTTGTGCGTAGCTGACCCCTTGACTGACTGGAGCACTGTATATTGGTCTTCCTGCTTGTTTCGTTGGGGCAGTAGTCTTCTTTTTGGGAGCCTTGAAGCAACCACTGTAGTTTGCGGTGTGCGCTTGTTCGCAATTAGAGCACTTGGGTTCCGTGTCCCTGCTTTTTTTGCAGTCATTACTTAAGTGGTTTTCCCCGAACTTGACGCATCTAAAGCTGTAATGGCAAGCCTTTGAGCTGTGGTAATACCTTTTCTGATTTGTGCAACGTCCTTCTCTTTGAGGGTGACGATAAAGTGTGGTAACACTTTTTTGTCGGCTTTTTTGGAGATCATGTTGATCACACTTGTTACGTTTACTCCTTCATTTAGTAATTCATCTTTGATTGCTTCTGTGCGGGTAGAAGCAGATAGCCCTTTTATAATGACCCTTTTTAATTTATCGCTATCTATCGGATATGCGATAAATTCTACTTTTGGTAGGTGTTCTTCTAGGATGTGAATCATTCCTAGATAGTCTTCACAGCTTTTGGTATTAATCACTATCGATCTACCTGATCGTGCGAATTTGTTCACAGATACTATTCCTTTGTTTGCTGCTCTCTGCAGGAGTTTTTGGTGTTCTCCTACTGTTTTGAGAATAATCGCTGGTGGTTTGGGTCTTTTGACTGTTGACTCCTCGCTTGTTTGCATCTTCATCCGAGACATAATTTGCGGTTTTAAAGTCTATTAGTAGGGTGCTAACCTGGCTGTAGGTCGAGCTACTCGATCCACCCAACAAAACGGCAGGCGGAGTTTGCTTTCAAATCTTTACGTAAATAATATTGGAGAATGTTAATTGTTTCTTGTATTGTAAACAGATGGAATTTAATTTTTCCAAACAAATTTAGAAAATATACTTTTTACCCTTTATTGGCCATACAATTTGGTAAAAGTTAGCGGTTTTTCTAAACTGAGAACTTCTTACAACCTACATTTAAAATAAAAATCATCACCCTACTTCATTAAGTTTTTTGCCATATTCATGCAATTTGGATAACCTTATAGAACAGACTTCTTCTTCTTCTGGTAGCACTACAACCCGGGGTGGGTCTTGGCTGACTGCACAACCTGCTTCCATCTCGAACGGTCGTCCATGATGTTTAAGTCAGTGGGTAGCTCCATTGTTCTGAAATCTGACCATATATTATCTCTCCATCGCATTCGTGGACGTCCTAAGGGCCTTCTTCCTGTCGGGACTTCTTCCCAGATTAACTTAGTAAGGCGGTTATTAGGGAGCCTATGAACATGGCCAGCCCATCTTAGACGTTGGGATTTAATCTCTTGGACTACGTCGCTAGCACTATACATTTGTTTGACCTCGGCATTTGTTCTCATTCGGTATTGGTTAGTATTCGGATCGTGATAGGGACCGAAGATCTTTCTGAGGATTTTTCACTCAAATCATCTGAGTTTACTTTCCATTGCTTTTGTCAGCGTCCACGTCTCACACCCATACATGAGGACCGGTCTAATTACTATTTTTTATAGAACAGACGATATTCCCAAAATATATCGTATCATAAATTGAATATCATTAGGTGTAAGTTGAAGTTGACTAAACCGCCAACCTTGGAGATATTTGAATATGAAAGTCTTGGCCTACTCGAGATTTTTAGACAGTGTTATAGAATCATGAATGTGTTCCACTTCAAATAGGTAAAAGTAATAATAAATAAGACTTACTCACAATTAGTTTAATTTAACTATCTAGACGACCGGTTTCGCTTTCTACAATATGCAAAGCATCTTCAGGTCTCGATACAAAGTTAATTAAACCGTACCGGCATCATTTAATTAACTTTGTATCGAGACCTGAAGATGCTTAGCATATTGTAGAAAGCGAAACCGGTCTTCTATATAGTTAAATTAAACTGATTGTAAGTCTTATTTATTATTTCTTTTACCTATTCTATAGAATTATTTATTTTTAGCCAAATGGATCAATGTCGAATGTGTTGAGAGAAACTGCACTTACCACTACGACTAACGCCCGATTATGTGGTAGTGACGACAAACTATGTGCTGCAGATAAAAAATCAGGAGTTTGCGAGGTAAATGTAATACAAATATTAAATAAATCAAAAAGTTTGGTTTAAGGCTGTTTTATCGGTACACCAAAACCTAGAGACAGTGTTTTCTCTGTTATTTACCGACAAAATGTCTCGAAATTTGGACACATTATTCAAAATTATGCTGCTTTTAAACTGATGGTTTTACTTTTTTAATTTTTTTGAAAGTTCTTTTGAAATATCGGATTATGCAGTTTAACGTTCTATTATAACCAAATTTTTTACGCCCATCACTTGAAAGAGTTTTTTTTCCTGTAATCGTTGATTTTTTTTTCACCTTTCTGTGTCCAGAAATAATCGAGAAAAGCGTGTTCAAACTTTAAAGAAATTTTCTAAAAAATTCTGAAACCTAATAGTGAAACGTGTTACTCATTATTGACACTTAATTTTATCGTTATCGCCTTCGTGACGTCAAATCTCATGAACGTACGGTCAGTTAGTTCGATTTGAAATCATTTTCAAGCTATAACTGCGAAAGTGTTTATTTGTTTGTGACATCAAATTGTATTTTTTTTTATAATAATATTTTTATGTTATTTTAAATTTAGTATAAATAAACACCATGACCATATGTCAAATTTACCTCTTAAATCTAATAGATTAAATATGAAAAAACTCATTTCTTCCAACAGTGAGATGTAGTGCTTGCAGTTTCTTCCATCCCCCAAGTTTAAGTTTTAAATTCAATGTTTGTCCCGTCATTTAGTGTTTCTGTTCCTGTTAATGTGTGTTTAATTTGTCCCTGATTGTCTTAATTTGTAATAATTTTATATACTTTTTATATACTTTTTACATAGTTGACTTTACAATAATTTATTAATTTTGCCAATAGACTTGATAATTACAAGTCAAAATAATTGCACAACCACACAATCGGTACAGCTACTCTTATTCATTGTCATAAAACTGTCTCCTTCATTACATGAATACTCAATAAATAACACACAATCCAAAAATATATCTCTGATATAAGTGTAAATAATTTAAATAATACAATAGTAAAGAACATCACTTTCATCTGACAAACAACCACAATATACCTATCTCTAATTCATTGGATCAAATCTGTTCTCTTTAAGAACTTCCCGTTTATTGTCAAAACAACTGCAATAGCACATTAAAGTTCTCCAATCAACAATACATGATTTTTGCAACCATGACCTACCATCCATCAATTAATAGAGTACCGGCAGCATTAGTTTAACTTTGTATCTAGACCTGAAGATGCTTTGCAAATTGTAGAAAGCGAAACCGGTCGTCAGATTGTTAAATTAAATTGATTGTGAGTAAGTCTTATTATTATTTCTTTACCTATTAAACACCATGATGTTTTTTGCAGTCACGTTTCACAAATGTTTAGTCAATACTATATTTAGCTAAGACATATAAATTAAAAATGTGATAATTCTTTTTAAAACATCTACGAATATCAATCAAAAAAGGTATTCCCGACAAAACTAATTTAAATGGAGAATAATGCATTTGTTGTCATTAAACAACCCGTGGGCCGACGCTACTGAGTTAACAGCTGTACCCGTCGGCTGGCGTCAGCAGTGCAGAAAAGTAAGTGATACGCCCATTTTAAATCGCAGTGTGCTCTGACTGCTAAAACAGCCTTAAACTAACATAATACTTATAACTTTTTATGGAATTGTTGAAATTCATTGTTGGTAACTGCAGTTATGTAAGGTTTGACTTTTTACACCAACTAAGATTTTGAATGCTAGTTTTACCGATGAATAGTAATATGGTATATTGCCCATTCTGGTTAAAAAAAAATGTCAAAAAATGTTTCGCGGATATCTGAAGATTTTAAGATAGATGTGGGGGTTACCAGATAACGAATAGATGAAAAAGTACTCGTATTTTTACCTTGCGTTTTTTTAAAACAATAATTTATGGGCACAATTTGATTTTTTGTCTATAAGTTTTTTCACTTATACTTTACATAAACAATATTTATATCATTTTTCTTTTAATCAAGAATATATTTATTTTTCAATTTTTTTTAATTAAAATTAATAAATAATTTACGGAGATATTTGCAGTTTTTTGCACTAATTTATAAATTTTATTAATTTTTTTATTAACAAAATAAAATGTTATTAATACATTTGAACATCGAGGAATTACCGTCTTTTAAACTTTTGCGAAATTTCCCCTTGATTGGTCAAATAGTTTAAAAGTTATTTAGTTTATTTATTCCTGAGGCTAAATATTTAAACTATTGAACTTACTCTATTAATGGTGCTAGACACATTTAGCAAATTTCATAGGATTCTTTAAGACTGAAACTATCTCAGAAGTTAAATGCATATTGCGTTTTTATCGAAATTATTCACAAAATAAACGTTTGAAAAAAGGGTATGTTTTTTACTTAAAAAGAATTGTAATAACCTCAATATTTTTAAGCTACAGACTTGTATGTACAACCATTGGATAGCTGGTAAAAAAACTCACATTAAAAAAAAGCTCTCTATGACCAATAGGAACGAAGTTAGGGACTATTTTGACTAATTTTGGAGCGGGCAACTGCTACTTATCCCGCCTTTTTTGCGCATACTAAGATATATTACCGGTTTCTGTTATATAGATGACCTTTCAACTATTCACATAATTACATATAAAATGTAGGAACACGAGGACAGTATGCTCTGTGATGTTTGGAGATATTTAGATCTAAAAACATAAATAAATGTGTTTATCGTCCTCGTTCTGTACATATACCTATAAACATATAAACATATAAATCGTCAAAGTAGTAAATACTTATATTTAATATAAGGAATATAATAATACACTGTGTAAAAAATTACCTAAAATTTAATTTATAAAATATATAAGTAGTATTACATCATTAGTATAAAATGAAAAAAATATATGTTGATTTTCCGAGGTTTCCCATATTTTCCGGCCTGTGAAAACCATGTAGTTATTAATATTTTGACGAGCTACCCCAGATTAAAAAAAAGAGGATTCTAGCTGCAATTGAAGCTGAGATAACCTAAATTTTTCCACGAGTTGTCCCCTCCACTTTCCTATGTCGATTTTTCGAAAGTACCTTCGTTTCGAAGGGCTGTAAGGTTCGAAAAATTGGATGAATTTTATAAGCTATAGGTTTCAATACAAAGTTTAGAATTTTATTTAAAATTTGTGTAAATTTTACTTTCTAATATTTATAAACAATGAAGATATGATTTTTTTAAAATAGTTATTCAATGGGAGTTCAACCATATGTAACACTTATGATTTTATGTAGTCTGGAAGGTCTTAAATATATAAAACAGTGCAAAATATGTAGATTTTAATAACTTTAAATATAGAATGCTGTCATTTTAATATTTGTTCACCATTTACATTATTAACTAAAACTGACAGTAGTTGTGTTTCGAAAAGTTCTGCAAGATAAATTGCTTCCCTAAAATGGCTCATAACCAAAAAGAACGAATTACTATTCTAATGATAAGAGTGTACGGTGACAGAAAAAGATCTTTGAGCAGCCAACTTGAAGTACATGATGTAGGTCGTTCTTTAGTCTTACGTGTATTAGGTAAGAATAAATTTAAACCATACAAAATTAACTTATTTCAAAAATTAAGTGAAGATGATTTCGATCGTAGATTAGAGTTTAGAGATTAGAGGTGATGATGGATAAAATTGAAAATGATGAAAATGTCGTTAACAGAATATGTTTTTCGATGAAGCAACCTTTACACTATGTGAAAGTGTAAATGGACGCAATTAATTTAAGGTACTGGAGTGATGTAAATCCACACTGGATGCGTGAAAACCATGTTCAAAGATCACAAAAATGAAATATATGGTCAGGTACATTAGATACTTAGTTAATTGAGTTAATTAGAAATGAAATTGTACCTACACTGAGAAACTTGTTTGGGGTAAATTTTAATCAGATATGGTTTCAGCAAGATGGTGCTCCAGCTCATTTTGGTGTAAATGTTCGGTGTTATTTGGATATTTCCCGGACGATGAATTGGTAGACGAGGTCATATTGTATGGCCTTCTCTTTCACCTGATTTTAATCCTAAAGATTATTTTTATTGGGGATACTTGAAAAATTGAGTTTACAAAACTAAACCAGCAAGTCTTGAAGAGCTAAGGCAACGAATTATAGATGAATCTCGAATAATTTCTACACAATAATTGAGAAATGTGGTAGACGGATTCTACCATCGATTAGAGTACTGTCAACTCACAAATGGAGCACATTTTCAACACTTGATAATGTATCTATTATGATAAAAAAATTTGTAATCTACCAATTGTTACATTTTAATGTAGTTGAACATAATTAGTATTAAAAAATTTATTGATAAAATTAGGCATTGTCAGACTTCTGTTTTAAGATTCCAATAATGTCTGAATATACAGGGTGATGAATTTGAAAAATCAAAGTTACTAATAATATAAGAGAAACGGCAAATCTGGCAACATTCACATATGGAATCTCCGTATCCCAAAATAGGTGTGCCCAAAAAATTTTGTACAATTGTGACTAGCAATTTACGAGATAATTGGCCGTTTCCACACTTTTGGCCCACTCTGTATAATTTACTAACGTTATGCTATTCTATTCGATAGTAATAATAAATACGATTATTAACTGTTTTAGGGCGATTCGGGAGGTCCTTTAGAACTCAATGGTACGCTAGTTGGAATTGTGTCCTTCGGTGAAAATGACTGTGTAGAAAGTGATGAGCCATCAGTCTACGTCAATGTCGCCTTCTTTCGTACATGGATAAAAAACGAAGCTGGTGTTTAATTTATATGTCAAGCTATTTCTCGTAATAAATATATATAAACTAATAGTTGGTTTGTTAATGAATACCACTTACAGATAATTAATTATCTCTAAACCTATATTAATTAGGCAATAGAAAGTGTCTTGAGGTGTTAGGTTATATTTCTCTGGATGTCTTATTACATGACCGAAATATTGTAACCTTCGAATTTTTATCGTTTTTGTTATTTCTGTGCTCTTTTACATTCGATGTAAAACTATTTCATTTCTTAGTCAATCAACCCAATCTATCCGCAATACTGGTCGATAAATCCATATCTCAAAGGCCACTATTTTTTTTTAATAATGTCTCTGTAAGGGTCCAGATCTCCATCTTCTTCTTTGAGTGCCGTGTCCGTATTCAGACGTTGGCCGTCATCATGTTTACAATTTCCTGAAACCTTTCTCTGTCGGCTGCTGCGCGAAATAATTCTTCTACTGTGAAACCACACCATTGTCTTATAGATCTCCATACCATACTGCAATGTGGAGAATATGTAGCAGCGAATTAATCAGATTTTAAGGTTTAACGTAGTATCTCTATTAATTAGAATTTTCTTAAATTTATAGAAGGCGGCTCTGGCTTTTTCAATGCGTATTCTTATTTCTTTATTTATATCTCAGTTATCGTTAACGTTTGCACCCAAATAGGTGTAATATTGTGGACTCTTTCTAACTCTATTCCATACACTCTGATGTTGGTTGGTTGTAACTCCGTTTTGCTGACAACCATAAGTTTTGTCTTAGAAGTATTAAGTTTTAGCCCATATTCATCACATGCTTTGGTTACCCTGTTTATAAGTCGTTGCAAGCTTCTTCATTGGAGGCAATAAGTACCGTGTTGTCTGCCTATCTGAGATTGTTGAGATTAATTCCGTTGATTTTAATGCCTGTATCTTCAACTTATAAGTAAAAGTGATAGTATACATCCTTGCCTCACTCCACGTCCTATTTCCACTGCTTCCGTCGTATTGTGTCCAGCTCGTACGTTTGCACATTGATTCCAATACAAATTTTTAATAATACGGAGGTCTTGGTCATTAATTCCCACCTGTTGCAAGACACCTATAAGTTTGTCATGGTTTAGTCGGTCAAAGGCCCTTTCGAAGTCGATAAAAACACGTATGTACTGATTGTTCTATATATCTACATCTTTGAACCATAAACTGCAAACTGAAGAGTGCTGCTCTGGTTCCAAGGTTGTTTCTGAAACCAAATTGTGTTTCACTTAGTTGTACTTCTATTTTGTTGTAAATTCTTGAGTGCATTATTCTTATAAAAATTTTCAGTACATGACTCACCAGACTGATAGTGCGATGATAGCTACACTGTTTTGCATTTATTTTTTTCGGTATCATAACAAATGTTGACAGTAGCATGTCCTGTTTCGTATATTTTATTAAACAGGCTTAGAATAGAATTTTTGCCCTTATCGTCGAGCAGTTTGATTATTTCGCTTGGAATTTCGTCTGGACCGGTTGCTTTCCTATTCTTTGATAGTTTTATAGCTTTTTCCATTTCAGCGAGTGTTATGCTTGAACCAGTCGATAAATTTTTGATTTGAATTTCTGTTCTATCGTCATCAAACAGCTCCTTAATATATTCTTTATACCTCTCTAATCTGTCTTGTTTATTGACTATAATATTTCCTTGTTTATCAAGTAAATTACTTGCACTTGATCTATGTGTTCCAGTTATTTCTTTCACCTTTTTGTACATTGAATATGTTAAGTTTTATAATACTTTTATAGAAACTGTAATAATATATTGTGATTGTGCATGATATTAGTTTCTTGTTCTCAAGGTAGTTGCAGTAGCAGAAGCAATGCTAATAAAAAATCTTCAGGAATAACGTTGTACATGTTAGTATACAAATATGTAAACAAAGTAATGGCCCGTACTTCAGAGAATAAATTAATAGTATTTGACTATATTAATTTATCGTTACGTATAATATATCGTGTTTTTAGTGTTTACCGCGGGATAAATAAATCATAGTTTTTTAAAAGTGTATTGCACTTTTTAGATTATGATTAAATCTTCTAAATAACTAGCCATATTTTTATATTAGTTTTAATATAATTAAGTCCGGCCATGATCCCACCGCCATATTGCTATTATCGTTAGCCACACCTACCTATGCCGTTTTTAATACACACGTTAATATGTTCATAGCTTCTCCATAGATTCTAACTCGATGAAATTTATGTACCTAAACAGTTTATTAAAATTAAACTTACCATGTTGCTTTGAGTCAATCTTTTTCCTTTTGTTTCCTTCATAAATGCATTCATGATGTGGAACCATTTTAAAGTTGGGGTGTAGACGTCGTCAGTTCCCATACCCGATTTAACTAATCTTTCTATTTTCTGTAGTTCTTGGCTGTAAGTATTCCGCAAACTTTTTATTTTTTGCCTAGCTTCGGCAACAGTAAATCCTTTAACGGCCATATGTTGAACTAATTGTTCTAAAGCTGCCGATCTCATTTGATTATTTCTATTTGTTTGGTAACGTTCCAGAGACATTCGTATTTCCGAAAAAGTTCTATTATATTATATATATATATTATATATATATATATATATTATATATATATATATATATACATATATGGATTGCTACTCCTTCGCGATTTCTAGTAGCGTATTCGGCAGGTGTACGTCGACACTGTTGTCTATCGTCCACTGATTTTCTGTGTTTTTGTGCAAATAATAACAATGTTTTATTAATAACAATTTTTTTGTGTTCATTAGATATTATTTGAATTGGTTAGTGTATAGTTTAATATATTTATTATTCCAAATATTGTTGATAATTTAAAATTTAAAAGGATGTATATGATACACCAAAATCTACAGATTTTTGCCGAAGGTATCTACCGATTTGGCAACAGTGCGCACGTGCGCAGCAGTCGAAAAATATCGACTGGAGAAGGAGTCCAGTCGAACAAATGAATTAATTATAAGACATCGCGACGTTATATTGAAATTTACACTGGGTAATTGCAGGTCAGGGGATCTTACTAATTGTATTAATAATCCGTATGTTCCGTTTTAACTCTTCCAATACTGTATATATATATATATATATATATATATATATATATATATATAATATATATATATATATATATATATGTATATATATATATATATATATAGATGGGCTAGCTATTTACTTACCTGTCCTCGCTACTGGTACAAGCACTTGTACAAGTACTTACTTGGTAGGTTGACATTGGATTAGTTGTTGCCTTACAAGCTACTGGTACAAGCAACTAACCGATTTACTATACCAATGTAAACTCCGCTTAACCAAGTTCTTCCTAGTGTCGAAGCCTGGACTGTCAATGTTGACTTAATGAGAAAAACTGGAAGCTTTTGAGATGTGGCTTTTTAGGAGAATTTTGAAGATACCATGGACCGATCATATTACAAAGGAAATAGTGTTGCACAGAACGGAAAGAGACAGAGAACGTTTTACCACCATCAAAAGGTGAAAGACAGCATATTTGGGACACATACTTAGAAATAATAAGTACGAGTTGTTGCAGCTGATTATGAAGGGTAAAATCGAAGGAAAGGGGGATCCTGGTATACGATAAATATCCTGGCTGTAAAACATTCGCGACTGAACCGGGTTAAACACATAGACGCTCTTAAGAAAAGCAGAAGATAGAGACGAATTTGCAATGGTTATAGCCAACCTTCATTAGTGGAGACGGCACCAGAAGAAGAAGATAGGTATATCCGGGAGTAGCAAATAGATGAAAATAATTTCATTAAATAGGTCACTCTTCAAAACCTCTTTATTTCAATTATAATTATTCAGTTACCTTTATTTCTTGCTGTATTTATTATTTCGATGACACTTCGTACTGCAGTAATATTTGTAGATTTTTAATTATAATTAAACTCATTAATTGTCTTTTAATATATTGAATCTTTATAATTAACTATAGTATAAATAATTGTTTTTAGATTTGTAAAAAATAATTATTTTTATCGCTTAATTTGATATCACCAGCGCTAACAATGAACTCGATTTCGGTGCTTATGCAATGTATCTGTATCAAGAAATGAATTTTAGCCCATTAAAGCTAGTTTATTATGTTTTAAAGAGTATAATAGACTAAAAAATTTGGTAGATTTTAAAGTTTTGTTAACATGGATATGATCTGGAATATCGTTTTATTGGTTTGTACTTTTTTCCCCAGAAACACCGTTGGTGGTGGAGGTAGTGGAGGTAAGGTGAAAATATTTATTATTATTATTTAGAATCAAAGCGTTAACTATTGTGGCATATTATATCTTTTATTTGTATAATATGAGTTTGTATTCTTTTTAATATGTACACATTTATTGTTAATATTCCTTGGCGTTGTCCCTCTACATCTGGAAGGTGTCCAAAAATCTAAGACTGTGAGATTCAACATAATATACATACATACTTCTCTTAATTAAATTTCAATATACTAAAAAAAATCCTGCTGTGTTCGTTTGTACTTTGTAGATATCGTGATCGATGCCTTTGGATTAAATAAATGTACTCGTAATTTGTAATTCACACTTTTATTTTTGCCAGCCATATAAATAAATGAAATATAATGTTATAAGTGACAGTGACTGTATGTTCCGTATTTGTAAGTCGGAACAGCTCTTTGCAATAATGTAGAAGATATAACAGTCTTCCCTTTCTAAAATATAATACCATTTTAAAATTATGAACCTAACTTAAACTATAATACTCATCATAATCATTCTCTTTTCCTTTATCCCTACGCGAGGTCGGCTTCCCCCCGCTACTACATTTCTCCATAAGTGTCTTTCTTGGGTCATATAAATAATAATACTCTTTACCGACGTGTCCTGCCTAAGCGTCTCCCCCAGGTCTTTTTTAATCTTCCTCTCTTACTAATTGCAGGAACCCGCAGATCATCAATTCTTCTTATTGGGTGATTAACTTCTTCTTCTTTAAGTGCC